GCGCACGCGCACGCGCACGCGCACGCGCACGCGCACGCGCACGCGCACGCGCACGCGCACGCGCACACGCACACGCACACGCACACGCGCGCGCGCGCGCACACGCACACGCACACGCACACGCACACGCACACGCACACACACACACCGCCTAACAGATAAACCAAACATGTTTACCAGGCAAGAATCGCCTTCCCCACCTGACGGGTTTCAGCTTGATTTCAATTGATGCCCGCCTCTTCACTCCAGTCTTCGTTTCAAACAGAAGCTATGGAAGACTCAAAGTTCAGGGACCATGGGAGCCCCCCCTCTACACCCCCCAGACCCGAGAAGCTTATACGTTTGCCCTGGAGTTCAAACCACCATTGTTTACCTAGAACCCTGGGGTTTGGTTTCCTTTTGGTTTCCCGCTACCAGGAGGTTTTCTGTTCCCATGTGAGCCTTCCGCCCGCCCGAGGCCAGAGCCGCGGCCCTGGACGCCGCGGAGGCGGAGGCGCAGCTGGAAGCCTCCCAGGCGACGGAAGCCTCGTGAAGACGACGGCGCCAGCGAGGGGTCAGAGGAACCAAGGCATAAGTCGTGCTAAGGTCAAACTATGTTTGACTTTTGGGAATTAAACAATCAGACATGATCTGAGATCATTAGTGCTATTTTATAGCGAGCTCACTTGGGGGTCTAACGAGCGTGATAAAGGTCCGGTACTTGAGAATCCAGTGATTCAGCTTTGGAAGTTTCGTAAATTTTGCAAAATGCATGCTGCATGCTGAGTTGTGCCAAGGTCAAACTATGTTCGATTTTAAGGGGATTATAATCAGACATGATCTGAGATCATGATTTCGAATTCTGGGGATTGAAATCAGACACCGGGGTAGTCACCCTTTAACCAACTTACGGGGTGACCTTGATGGCAAAACAATCGTGCCAGCGCCACAAGAGTCAAGGCCGCTGAGCACTCAGGCAGCCAACTTGGCCTAAAATGGCTGGATTCCTTTTTTTCCGTTTCAACTAACCTTAAAGAAGCCCACAGCCCCAGCGGTGCCCTGCTTTCCTTTGTGTTGGGATTCCTCAAAGTCGCTTTCAGCAATATCCCCCACATTGGGATCGTTTTGAACATATATGTTGCATGTGACCAGTCATGCACTAATACAGAGTTAAATATGTGTTTGGGTTGAGGTCAGGTTTCCAAGATCCACTTTTGGCGACAGGCTTTTGGACTAGCGACCCAGACTGAGGGTACAACACCTAAAGGACCTTATAGCTATCTAACCCAGCCATTTCGGTGATTTGCCCAAGAAGGCACACCCATGTACCTCTCATGAACTTTTAGAATCACAGAAATAGATCGGCCCTAGTGTTGCCGATTGCTTACGCAGTCTGTCCCTTGCTCTGGTCGAACCAAGTTTATAATGTGCCTGCCGGGGCCTTGAAATACAGCCCCCGTGAGCAAGCCGATAGCTGTGGCTAGCCGCTGCTGCCGCTCGGCCACTCAAATGACTGGGGTTGACACATCTCAGCAGATTCACGGAGCCCTGAACGGGTTCTCAGAAACGGGTTCCGGTCGCCTGCACCAAAGGACAACCTGTCGCATCAACAAGGAACCAGTTTCTACCAAACCCTTGCTGGTGCTCAGTAGGGAATGAGGGAATGAACCGCGGGGTCTCCTGAAAGGAAAACACAACTCATTCCCTGCGTATCGCACCAGCAAGTTGAATGGAGCACCTAACAGATGAGTGTTTCTGAAGATTTGCCAAAGGAATTCTTCCACATGGCTGCCCTTTTGGAGCGGCAGGGGAAGCCCTACCTTTGCTGTCTTGGCAGGGGGCCCCTCCAAAATCACCGCCAAAACAAGCACGTGCCCTTTTTTCCCATGGACGTCCACTTGGGAAAATGGGTCCAACCAGTTTCAACTGAAGCCGGGAACGTTGCCAGAGTGGGCAGCAGACAGGCCGGCCAAGTGGTTAAGTCCCGGCTCGCGCCGGGAGAGAGACTTGGGATGTTTCCTTTTTCAGCGTTCCCTCCTTTAGAGCGATTGTCCAAAGGGAGATAAAACGGACAGCCGCAAGTTTTAGAAAAGCCCTCCGTGTTTGAGACAATCCCTCCAATGTCGTTAGCCTCGGCTCGCCCTTTAGCGTATTTATACGTAGACTGAAGGCTGAACAGTGCGCGTCCTGCGTCGCGGCCAGGCTGGACCTGGACCTGCACGGTGAAAAAGCGGCCAGCAAAAGACGCCGTTTTTAACACAATTTGGGCTAATATGGGAAGCTTGCACCTACTCCCACGAATATTTTTCGCATTGGGTCTGTGGCAGACCGAGTCTTGCTGGTGCTCGGCAGGGAATGTGCGACTGAACCCAGGGGTCCCTTCAAGGAAACCACAAGGGATTGTTTTTAGGGGTCATTCCAACTCATTCCCTGCTGAGCACCAGCAACTTGTTCCAGCTTGGAGCTTAGTGTACTGGGTGAACCGTGTGAACTGCTGTACTAAACTATGATAAGTACTAAAGCATCTAGCTGGCCTGCTTCAGATTGTTCATGGTCTACAAGCAGAAACCATTCGACCAACTTCTTATAGGCTTACCCAGGTCGTGGAAAGATTTCCGAGGGCAACCTCGGTTTTTTCACAGGGAGACGAAAAGGAGGTCTTACCAAAAGCAGGTCGTTTGAGGTCGCTTTATTGACATTGTTCAAGCAACTGCTACGTAGTCGTGCTGAAGATTGCGCTCGGAGCGTGCCGTAGATCGCGAAAAGCTTTACGGGGGTGTGTCCAAATCAGGCATTTCTTTCAAAAGGCTGGTTGAATGTGGTTCTAACGTTCGGACACACCCCGTGTCTGATGTTTGACCGAGGCTCCCACAGGTTTCCCTTACCCAAGCGTGGTTCAGCTTGCAAGGACAATTGGGGAGCCTTCAGGCGGTGTTTTTTGTTTGTTTCTTCTCCTGGTTTACTTTTGAAGCCATCCGAAAAGGGGGTTCCCGATTTTGAGTCAGGCCCAGATAGTGGAAGAAGCAGTGACAGCTTTCCTCCGTGCAGGAAAGCCAGAGGCATTTATTTCGTCATTTGGGCATGGAAGATCTTGGTTTTTACCCGCAACCTCTTCTTAATTATGGCCACCTTATGGCTTTCACGTGCGGTCTGCTTTCTCCCCTTGAGCGAAGGTCATGCACGCGCAGTACCGCACCCTCCGGAGCCTCCGCTCCAAGCTCCGTGCGCGAGGCGCGTCCAAGCTTTCGCGGCGTTCGACGGCTTTTTTCTGCGATTCTCCCCATCCATGGCAACTGGGGACATTTGACATTTTCCCAGCGACTCAAAGTGAAGCAAACAATAAAATATACGTTCCCGAATTCCAGGTACAACCCTCCTGGTTTAGGGCTGAACTCACCAGTTACTTGCCCTCACTCAGGCGATTGTGAAGTGCCAGGCAACTGTACACTGTACACCCCATGCAATCCTGAGGGTTTAAGGATTTCTGTTTGTTTCCACATTCGAGGGGTCCTTCTCTACTTCTCTGTGACAGCACGGGATACTGATGGGTTTGCAAAACACAAGTGTTGACTGCACTGGAGATCAATCCTCGGAGTGACCTTGGCCGCTTTTGTGATTTTTTGAGGTACCCGCAAAGATAGCACTCCCGCAACAGTCCAAAAGGTTTGGTCATTGCCAGACTTTGCGCTACCTCTTTACACATGTTTCGTTATTTGCCTTTGGGTGTTCCGGCATTTTGGGCTTTAAGCAGCAACATGTTACTGTAACTTTTCGCTGGGGGTCTAAGTCGACTGAGAAATTGGGTTCTACTGAATCTGCCACTTTTCGGAGGTCCCGAAAAAAGTAAATTGAGGGACAGCCACCCTCGCAGGCATTGACGAGACAAAGTTCATCTCCGTCTTCGGTCTGAGGAGACCGTGGTGTGTGTGTGTGTGGGTTGTCGCGATTCCAACCCCAAATCCACCGGCCATCTCGTTCCTAAGGCATGGCCCAGTGGCCCTCATATAGGACAGGGCAAGTGTCATTTCATTTGGGCAGCCAAACCCCCCCTTTTGTTTCCCCCAAGTTTGTCCTCAACAAGGCCGCAAGTTAGTTGGGGCCTCTGCCATGTTTCAGGGTAGAGTAAATGTGAAGCAGAATCCGAAAATATGTTTTTCTTATACGCCCCAGACGTGGGCCAGGATAGGGAACTATTTTGAGGAAATAAAGCGGCGCGCACCCGGAACCCTTGGAGTTTCTGGTGGTGGGGGGGGTTGTAGGGGTTGGTGCCCCATTCTTTTCAACCATCGTCCTTTTCAACGTGAAACCTTTTGCGGCTTGCTGGAGCTGGGTGGCGTGGTTCCTTGTGGCTCATTGATCCCGAACCCTTGGGGCGGTTCCCAAACTTTGTCCGGACGCCTCGAATGTCAGGACCCACGGGGTGCTTCCAAGCCTCGGCCCGGCCACCGAGCAGATCTACGTCCACTCCAAGGCACCGGGACGGGAAGGCAACACATGGGGAATGACCCCCATAAACCATTCCGTATGGTTTCCTTTAAGGGAATCCCTAGCTTCATTCACCCTGGGTCATTCCCTAAATAATTAATTAGATGCTTAGTTTGGCAAACAGCCCGTGGAGCCAACGACGATGAAAGTCTCCTTCAAAACTATTCTAGATCTTGTAGACCAAGTATGAGGCAGAATCTGAACATGTGAACGGGTTCGAACACATGGGTTTTGATCGCTTGCGCCAAAAATCAACCATGTGTGCACGTGTAGCATAGGACGCGTTTCTTGGAACCATTTAGAACCCGTAACTGGGTCACACAACCGCATCTCCCAACATTTGGAGATTTCCTGGTTCTCCAAGATTTGCAGTCCGGGTTTGGCATCGGGCCAGTTTGTCCAGTCCACCCATTTAACATCATGGGCAGCTGCGCCGGAGCCGGACGATGTGCGGCGGCGCGGTTCCAGATGCTGGCTCGCAGGGGTGCCTCGCGCAAGAAGCTGGAAGCCTGGCCAGAGCAGATGCCGGACATGGCTGGGGCGGTGCCAGCCACCCTTCGGGACTCCACCCCAGTTTGTGTCGCTTGGCAGCGTGAGGCGAAGCAATGCGGTCGTGCGGTCGGCGCCGCCAGTGTGCCGCGGAGTTGCGGACGGGCCGCATGTGTGGAGAACAATCTCGCCATAGGAGAACAATGTTTGTAATTATGTAGTTATGTAGCCCTGTATTGGTATTGGGTCCCCAAAAAAGGGGGCCCAAAAAAATCAGGTGAAGATGCTTGTTGGGAACCCCCGACTCAAGGTGGCTGGCTTCCTCTTGGTTTTGCTTGAAAAACATTCCAAAAGTGCCCCCTACATTGAGAGACACCCACGCGATTTGTGACATACAAAGTAATATGGAACCACCAAAATTAGGAGTCTGCCACAAGAAGATTCTTCCACGCATGATGGTTAGCGCGGTTGCATGTCAATCCATGTTCATTTTCAGGGGAAGAATCATCACATGGTGCCTTGATTTACTTGGCCAACGTCAGGCGATGATTGTGGATGACGAGGCCGCGGCCCTGAGTGCCCATGTTTGCGAGGAAGGGAAGGAAGGAAACCCCAGACCTCTAGTGGTGTTGTTGTCTTCCATGGCCACTGGAGGTCCAAGGAAGCAGAGATGGGCGATGGGAAGCCAGTGAGGGAGGGGCCATGCGTGCTGCGTAGGCCACGAACCGAACAAGTTGCATCGCTCTGGGTCTCCCACTTCGGGACGCATTTGGTTCACCAATGTCAGAGGCCAGGGAAGGGGAGCAGGCGGTCCTTGTCCGGCAGAAACGGTCCTATAGGCCGTGGAGGGAGCTTGTGAATCCGTTCGACCATTTGGGGCGCGCTTGGGAGAAGTCTGGCCTATGAATCCAGCATTTGGGGAGCTCTGTTGGCCGACAGAGGCTCCAGAGCATGCCGAGGCAGCAATAGTGGGCAGTGCCAACATCAATGACCGGTCCTTGCTGGGCATGCGCGACTCAGAGGTGAATATTGTGATCCAGGCGGGGGATTCTTATGGTGCTTGTTCTCCCAAACTCCTTTAATCCCCTCTTCCTGGCGGTAGGGATCGGTTGAGCCATATTGTGGCCCTGAACACATTCCAACTAGTTTTGGCTTGTAACCAGTCTTGGGGTTCCAACTAGCTTTAGGATTTGGGGGTGTCCATCCACTTTTGGGGCATTCATTCCATGGGTCGGCAGGACGAGGGCCTGGCCCGCGCTGGCGGCCTGCGGGGAGGCGCTGCGGCGAACTTGCGCAAGGCGGGTGCTGGGGTCGATCCTTGCGGAGGACGCCGCGCAGGGCGGGGCTCGGGTGGGCAGCGCGTTTTGTTTATAAGAGATTGTGTCAAGTAGCCCTTTGGTGATTTGGATGATTTGACGCCCTTGTAGGGGGTAACTGGGCCCATTTGTGTGGTAAGTGCCCTTGTGGGCTCCACGGCAACGGAGGTGTGTCAGAAAGCAACGGTTCGGTTCAAGGGAAGTCAGCAATCTCTGGGAGGGGATTTGCGTCCTTTCGGAATTTGCGTCGCACAGCCAAGACATGGGGTGAGTTCTGTGGGCGGTTCCGGGACTGCCAGCAATAAGCTCCCTTGATCTGCCTTATGTCGACCCAAATTATTAACTGGTTGCGGTGGTCACCAACGTTTTAGAGGGGATCTGGATATCGCTTGATTTGTTCCAGCATTTTTTGTGTGTCTACGAATTTGAACCGAGATCCAATTCGGGCGGGACTGGCAACTGACTTGGCTTTCAGCCTGAAGCCCAAAACCCAGCTCGTGGCATTGTCGCTTGGCGTGGATCAATAGGGTTGATGGAACTTTTAAAAGACTTGGCTTTGATGGACCGAGCTCCATACGTCAACCCCCAAAATGGTCCCCTTGTACCTTTCGGGTCACCAGTTGCAACCGGGACACAAGGGCGATCGAGCCAAAGGAAGCTGCTGAGTGGGGATACGGGTCACACAAGCTTCAGATGAGTCACTACTGGGGTAACCCCCGAAAACGAACTGGATTCTGTGTTTCCCACCTTTCGGGTCAACCCCAAGAAGGGTTCCTTTGCTCGAAACCTTCTTTCGGGCCACGAGTGGTGCCAGTTGGGCTTGAGCTCGACTCGCGCCAGCAAAACACGAAACACGCGAGGCCCTCTTCGTGCAGCACCTGGGCCTGTCCCGGCAAAAGCTGGAGGAGGCGACATGGCGACGCGAACCCATTGCTCATGCATCGACTGTCTGTGTTTGGAGCTGGTAATGTCCACTTCGGATTCATCCGGAGGTGCATGCTATATGGGGTGGTCCTCTAAGTAGGATCCTACGGATTAATCCGAAGCGAACACATGTTTCAGGGGAGAGAAGCGGAAAGCAGCTGAACTCAATTTGAGGGGCGTCCTAGTTTGACACATGCCTGGGGTCGAACAAGCGAACAGGGAATTCGACTACCTGTGAATCCAAAGCCACCCATTAAATAGGGGCTGAAGCTGCCTGTTAAACCAAGGGAACCGACTTATTCTAGGGGCTCCACATCCCATGAGACAGCCCTGGGAGTTTCTTTGAAAGGGTTCTCAAAGTCAGATGCGGATCTGGGGTGGTTCCCAAGTCAGTCTAATGCGTGAAGCGTTTGGATTCTCTGAAACCAATCCAAAGAGGTGTCCTGTCCCAACTTTGGGACGCCTGCAGCCAGATGGGTGTCCTAAGAACTCCGGGGCCCCAGTTTGGATGTTTCAAGGGCAAGCAAGAGCAAGCCCTATTATTTTCTTGGTTCGGCCCCGTTTCCTCTTTGACGCCAGGTCTACGACAACCTGAGGAACGAGGCGGGGTTGGTCTCTATCCACCAAATGGGTTGAGGTTTCCTGGGTTCTGGAGAGTACACACTATGGGTCATGCCGTCATGCCGTCAGTTTGTTGGTTTTGGGTTTCTCCCTTACCACATATTAACATTGAACCCCAAAAGCGGGTCACCTCTGCTTTTGGAGGCTCTACAAATGGCTTTTTGTTCTCCGTGTTCTTCCATTTTCTGAAGAGTATGTTTCCCTTGTTGGTTCCAAAAGGGTCTTTATCACTACCGGACATATTTTTTCATTTTTTCCAAATGGACGAGTTCATCAGGAGATAGGATGCTCGGTTCGGGCAGCACCCTTCAGGCCTGGGTGGCGGAGCTGAAGCGGGTCGCGAAGCGGAATACCGAGATCTACGAGGAGAGTTGCGCGCCTTTTTCGGCTGGTTTTTTGTTGTGTTGTTGAACGGGGCGTCCTTGAAAAGAAGCGTCTGCCAAAGGGAAAGATGCCCGGTAGCTGTTTTGGGTGGCCTTCAAAAACGTCTGCCAAGAAAGGAGCCGTTTTTTGTATGTGTTTTTTTTCTGGCCAGTGGGGGGGTCTGGGGAAAAACCAGTGGTCTGATGGCGGGAAACAAGGCCGTTTCGTTCGGAGTTCCCACCAATGGCCCTATGAAAGCAACCCCAAAAAAGAGTACCCACACAAAAAGCACCACGTTCTTGAAGCAGGGTTGCTCCCATTCGTGCAAAAGGTCTGTTTGACGCTGTTCATTGTGAGAGGGGGGCTGCACGTCTTCCGAAGTCGTCTGAGCACCCGCCGGTTGGAATTTTCGGAGACGGGGGCTGCAGCCCCACTACTCAAGGGGCACCACACCCCGTGGTAGGTCTCTGCGATCTCTTGGGATTGCCTTTTGCTTCCCTTTGGCGTCCCCTTTGGTTTTGTTTGGTTTCTCTTCTCGGGCGGTCATTTTTCTACCGTTTTGGAGCAACCCTGTAGACCGCCAAACAGAGCTCCCAAGCCTGGATTGCCAAAAACCCAAAACCGCCAAACAGCAAACAAATGCAATCACCACAACAAAAAGCCACCAAACACCCACCTGCAAGCCCAAACCCCCAACCAAGAAAAAAAACACCAAACAGCACACCACCTCCAAAAAGCAACACAAACTCACCACAAATGCAAAAAACAAAAACACCCAAACCACCAAACATCGGAGAAAAAAACAGCCAACGCCCGCCAAGCAGCAAACACCTCCGACGGCCCAAGCCGCCCGGCCGAGATTTCACCGTAGGAGCTCTTTGGGGCACTGCCCTCCGACCAGCTGAAGAGCTGGCAGCATCTGGCGGCGCGGCGCCGGCAGGCGCGGGGACAGGTGCCAACGGTGCCAACCCCCTGGGCTCAAGATGAGACATTATTTTCTTTCTTCGTTTTTTTACATGATTTTTGCGGTCTGAAGTTCCAGTATCAACCTCTTAGAGACGCGTCGGTCGCCTTGCGTTGGGACTGGCCCGCCCGCCTCGTGTTTCCAAATTGACATGTCGCTTGTGCCTGGTGCGACTTCTCCGGTCTTGCTGCTCTTGCTCTTGGCTGCTTCTGCTCGCCTTCCCCAAGCTCCGCTCGTTCCTACTGCTCATATGGCCATGGTTCAAAACCTATGGCTCCGTTTTGGGGTGGATGAGCATCCCTTTGCCACCTATTTTGATGTTCACCAGGGGTACACGGTTTTGACCCGCAGCCATATTGCGTGAGCAGGCGCCACAGTTGTAGACTGTAGCCGCGTGCCAGCGCCAAAAACGATATCCAAAACAATGCCAACATGAAGCAGCTGGAAGTGCAGCTGTCGCCTTGCGCGGGGGCTGGCCCGCCCGTCTTGTCTTCTAGCATGAAATGGCGCTTGTGTCCGTTGCAACTTTCTCTGTGCTTCTGCCCCCCTTCCCCAAGGTCCGTTCCGACCGCTCATGCTTCTTGCACTACCGTACTGTCAGGGGTCATTAAGGACAGATATGTACAAGGCCATGACCTTCCCTGCGCATGGCTCCTTGCCATGGCACTGACTCAGCATGTGCCAGGCACAATCCGTCATCCACCCAGGACATATTCGGGGAGAGCTTGAGTCAGGGTTGCCCACTTTCCGTGCAAACACGGGCCGAGCGACAATCAAAACTCGCGCGGTTCAAACCGATGCCCAATGCTCCAATGCTCCGCGGCCGGGACTCGAAGCATGCAGGCGCCTAGCACGCTGAAGAACGCGGACTTCACCAGGAGAGATGAGCCGCGTTCGACGTCGCTGGAGAAGGGAGGGGGGCATCAATACCACGACTAAAAAAAAGAAAAGAAAAAGACAGGGACCTGGACAGTGGCTGCAATTTTAGTGGCCCGTTCTCAAACTTGATTGTGGTCAATCGGGGTTTCAGGGCAACTTTCTGTCGCTGGCCAAGGGAAGCCCTCTTGAAGTGATGAGCTCCGTCTTTGAGAGATCAAAACTTGGACACTTTTTTCAATGCGATATTCCGGTGCAAGAACAAATACTTTTGACAAATGATTGTTGTTGTTGAATGTACATTACACAAGCAAAATTATCTCGTTAGATTTCAAAGATGGGAAGCTAAAGTTTACGAGAGACAAGTCCCTTGTCACAAACATTTGCGTTGTTTTGCACTCTTGCGTCTCTACTTCTTGAGCGCTGGCTTTGCGTCGGAGCCTTTGGTTTTGACGCGGCCATTTTTGAGTGGCCAAACCTCACCTTCGCCTCTGATTAGCACACCAGCCCGGCGGCGTGGCGGCTTGGCGGCTTGGCGGCTTGGAGGGTGATGTTCTTCAAACCATGGCCGAGCAATCAGGTGTGCTTTTGCGGCAGTTTGCTCAGTGCTTAGGGCAACGAGAATGTGCTGTTTCCTTTCACTTCCCCGCAATTAAATGGGGACAACATAAAAGGAAAGGGACGGTCTTACATCTTGACCAAAGTGATGGCGAAAAATATCCATTCCGGTTGAACATTCATTTTTTTTTTTTCTCTCTCTCTCTCTCTCTCTGCTCCTGTCTGAGAGCAGTGCTCTCTAGGGTTGGGCAGCTGTCGAATCACCTTCCGGCCGTCTTCAAGCTGATTCCCACCCACCCCTCACCCAACCCTCACCACCCCACCCACCTCCCCCCACCCCCCTTACCCCCACCCACCGCGCGACTTCGAGCGAGCTGCCGGCTTCGGTCCTTCGCTCTGAGGATCCCCTCGCCGGAGGCGGCGAAGGCGCTGCAGGAGGTGCAGGGCTACTTGGCCCTGGCCTCACTTCGCTCGCCTCAACGGGGGCGCAGTGGGCGTGGGAAGTGCGGGAAAGACGAGGTGGGTGGTTGTGTGCTTTTTTGGGGAATCCCTCCCCCCCCCCCCCAAAAAAAAAAAAGAAAACACATGTGTTTTTTCTTTTGGTCTTTTGGTTTTTTGCTTTAACACCACGAAAAAAGAAGTGCCTTCAAAAAAGACACACCCATGTCAATGTCAGCACCATGTTCCTGGCAATGTCCTTTGAACCCTCAGCCCCAAGAAAGACCACCCTTGGAGACACGGACACGGTTTTTAAGCACCCACTTTCTGCCATAAGGGCACCCGCTTTGAAGTGATAGTCATGGGAATCAACCTTGATATCACAGGAAGCTGGGCACCGGCGTGTGGATTTGTTGGGTTCTTTTTGTCAAACACGGTAAGCAATACTCAGACTATGAGAAGAGGCTGGTGAACCAACGGATAGATTATGATGTTGTATTTTGAGGTTGACACAATGTGAAGCTGAATCTGAACAACTCATGTTTGTATACAGAGTTGGGCCAAAGTTTGGAGGGGCTGTGGCAGTGAAGACATGCTCATGCTTGTGCTACAGTTTTTGGTTGGATCGCTCACCTTAAACTCTTGACACAAACGAAGACGACTTCTGCTTCGCTCCAGGAGTGTGTGTGTGTGTGCCGTCAATTCAACCCTGACGCCACCATCTACATGTGGAGACACCCACATTGCTTCTCCAAAACGAAGCTGACAATGCGTGGTTAGGATATCCTTTTGACCCTTTGTTTCTCTTGCTGTGTGTGCTTCATGTTGGATCTTCGCAATGCTTTCAAATCTAGAGGAAAGCCATCCCATTTGCAACTCGACCCGTTTGACTCGAAAGACACCCACTCGAATGTGATTCTGTCTCTCCCTCGAGAGAAATGTAAGTGTGTGTGTGTGTGTGTTTTGTAGGCTTACGTTCTTGGTTCCTTTTGGTTGAGGCAACTGATTTGCCACGAACAATTGGTTGATCAAGACTGGGGGAGTCCCCATTTAAGAGGGACTCCGCACCACGTTTCGGGGACCAGGTAGATTGATTAGAGGTCGTCATTCAGTGGCCTTGTGGATCAGGTTACGCGCGTATTTCTAGCGAGGAAAGTGGAACAGAAACACCTTTAAGCATTTCCACTACGAATGCCCAAAACGACTCAAGGGATGGTGTAGCAGCATCTCCAGACCTCAGTTGCCAGCAAACCTAACCCAGTGATTCCGTGTCTCTGTTTAGTAGGTGACCACCCCTTGAAAAACCAACAACAACACAAATCGTTGGTTGCCTGCCATACTGGTAAGGTAGTTGATGATGGCACAACCAAACTGCTGATTGAAACGCCAATGGTTTAATCCACTGGAGCCATAGCACAAGGAAGCCGCTCCCCGTGCTGGCTCCCCGTGGCTCTGGATGGGTATGTGATTTGAAGGGGAAATCCACGGTGGTTGAAACATGTTTAAACCAGTGCTTTGTTCTGCCGGTCCCGTGCCCCTCGGGAGCAGCAATAGTTGAGGGGGTTTCAACATAGCGGGTTGAGCCCTGAACTATTGCAAGTGCGCACGTGTAAATCAAACGTGGACGCTGCTATGCACGTAATCAGAAATATGAACAAATTCCTGTCTGCCGGGCAGTGTTCGGCTGATGCCCTAGACATTGAGGAAATCCCCAATCTACCGTAGCTTACCCGGTTTTTGGATGTGATTGGACTCACTTACTTTAGAGAATCCACCGTAGCAGGTTCGTGGTTGGGCTACTTTTAAGTTTTAGGGAATCTAGCTATCGCAGGTTGATGCTTTTTCTCGAGCCTAGTCAGGTTGAGACAGCGATTGTCGCACTCGATTGGGCAATTGGGAGAGGAATGGTCAAACAATCAGGAAAGTCCATGTGTGTGTGTGTGTGGGTGTGTCGATGTTTTTGAGGATGCCCCCTGTCAATTTGGGAGCAGTATGGGGAACTGACTAAGTTTTAACCACCAAACACACAGTGTAACATTCAAGACTTTGCCCGGTGTAAAATTCAAGACTTTTTCCCACACTCATTGCGGGTAGCAGCATATTTTGACCATAGCTCATAATGGATCGGAGTGGGACAAATATATGTTCCAAAGTGGATGTGCATTGCGTGGATCGTAGAGGGCTTACATGTGGGGTGAATCGAGCTTGCCCATAATGGCGCCTCGTTTGATGGCTCAATCTAGTTTTTTGTTTTTTAGTTTTCTGTGCAGTCTGCAGGGACGCAACCAGCCCCCTTAACGACCCCCAAGGTTTACGCGTTAATAAGCATGATTCTGTTTGAATAAGGCTATTTCTGCCTTAAATGGTTGGGATTCGGGCAAGTTATCACGAGGTCCCCTTGTGGTCCCAAAGACAATTAATGGGGAGTCAGCTCCCCTTGAATGAGAGGACTTCGCGAATGGGCTCAGGTGGAGTTCCCGATTGACTTCCTGGCACAGGAGGAGAGCATGGTCGGATGCGCAAGCCGCGCTTTTGCGGGGCTGGTTGGGTTTTGAAACAGACACGGCTTTTGGCTGGTTCACATTTTGGGGGGGTTCCCTACCCCTTTGGGGACACATTTTCTGAGTCTTGATCCCCCATTCTGTTCGCCCATCCTCTTCAGAAATCACCCTTTTCTCAGGATTTCGGCAAGTTCCTGCATAGCAGTATCGCTGAACTGAATGGAAAGAACTTTTTGCCATTTCCTGTTTGCTTCCATGTGCTCGTCTTTTTGAATGTGTGTCGTTTTGATTTTTAAACCTCCAAACACGGGAGTTGTTTGGACTGGGGTTCCCATGGTCCCCTCCCAACCTGCTAACCTACCTAACCTCACCTAACCTACCTAACCTCACCTAACCTAACCGAACCTACCTAACCTAACCGAACCTACCTACCCACCCACCCACCCACCCACCCACCCACCTTCTGCTTGGGCCCGGGGCCCCTCGAGGACTTGGCGCCCTCGGTGGTGGCTAACCTCCTGGGCCCAGTCTTCACATAGCGAGCCTCGGGGCTCGCGCTCGGAACAGCCGAGGCTCGGGGGTTCGGGGCGCGCGCCCGGAATGCGGTTGCGCTTCAAGGAAACGTCGATCTCCCGACTCGCGCCGAAAACAGGGGTTCCCTAAACTTCCCCTTAGGTGGTGTTGTGTTCCACTTTTAAACGGTACCTTGTGAGCCAGTTTAACTTGAGAGTCCTTTTGCTGGGGTGATGCTTTTGCAGGAAACATAGGGAGTCATGAGCGCCCTTACTTCGCGAGTTTCTTGACTTTCTACTCTTGGGGAAAACCATTTTGTGGTAAGCAAATAAACAACACCTGCCAATTCAGTCAGGAAGCGAGACCTTCTTTTAGAGTTTTCCTGAAGGTCTGTGTGTCTCTGTGTGTGTCTCTGTGTGTGTCTCTGTGTGTGTGTGTGTCTATGTGTGTCTCTCTGTGTGTCTCCCTGGGTGTCCCTGTGCGTGCTTCTGTGTGTGTGTGTGCGTGTGTCTCTATCTCTGTCTGTGTCTGTGTCTATATCTGTGTCTGTGTCTGTGTCTTGTGTGTCTTGTGTGTCTTGTGTGTCTGTGTCTTGTGTGTCTTGTGTGTCTCGTGTGTCTGTGTCTGTGTCTGTGTCTGTGTGTGTGTGTCTGTGTGTGTGTGTCTGTGTGTCTGTGTGTCTGTGTGTCTGTGTGTCTGTGTGTCTGTGTGTGTGTGTCTGTGTGTCTGTGTGTGTGTGTGTGTCTGCGTCTCTGTGTGTGTTTGTGTGTGTCTGTGTGTGTGTGTATGTGTCTGTCTGTCTGTCTGTCTGTCTGTCTGTCTGTCTGTCTGTCTGTCTGTCTGTCTGTCTGTCTGTCTGTCTGTCTGTCTGTCTGTCTGTCTGTCTGTCTGTCTGTCTGTCTGTCTGTCTGTCTGTCTGTCTGTCTGTCTGTCTGTCTGTCTGTCTGTCTGTCTGTCTGTCTGTCTGTCTGTCTGTCTGTCTGTCTGTCTGTCTGTGTGAGTTTGTGTTTGTGTTTGT